TTAAGCGTCTGCCTTCAGCTCAGGTCATGATCCCAGGGTCCTGGGATCGAGCCCCGCATCGGGCTCCCTCCTCGGCGGGAAGCCTGCTTCTCCCTCTCCCACTCCCCCTGCTTGTGTTCCCTCTCTCTCTGTGTCTCTCTCTGTCAAATAAATAAATAAAATCTTTTAAAAAAATTCTTTAGAATAGTTCCAGAACACAGTGAAGAGATCCTAAATGTCAACCATAATTATTATCGTCACTTTTGGGCAGAGACCCTTTGGCCTCTGGCCTTGGGAGAAACTGCCCTGTCAAAGCCTAGACTTTAGGGGCTCCTGGGTGGCTCAGTTGGTTGAGCCTCAGGTCATGATCCCAGGGTCCCAGGATGGAGCTCCATGTTGGGCTGCTGCTCAGCGGGGAGTCTGCTTCTACTTCTCCCTCTGCCCCTCCCCCAGGTTTGTGCATGCTCTCGCTTGCTCTCTCTCAAATAAATAAATAAAATCTTAAAACAAAACCAAACCTAGATTTTTTAAAGCGAGCAGGCCTGCTGGTATTTAAATTGGTCTCAGACACGTGCAGGGTGAATGAATACATGAACAAATGAATGGAGCCCCCACACGGGCCTCGAGAAGGCACTAGAATGGGAGCCTTCTCATTACAGAGGCGTAAACTGTGGTTTTTGGTTGGCTATGTGAATTGCCTGAGGTCACACAATGAGTCCACATTACAGCCGGATCTAAGAATGTCCCTCCCTTCACCTTCTCCCCTCCCTCGTATCTTGCACACTTTCACTTCACATACGTCTTCCTCTCCCTAAGGGCAAAAATGATGGACAATGAAGAGTTGTCCAACTGGCCACTTGGGAACAAGGATGTCCCGGAGCGCTGGCCCCAGGCAGCCCCTTCGTGGGCAGACAATAGTCCTTGCAGGACTGAAGGAGCCCAGGAGAGCTAGCTCTGGCCTGCAGAGTGGCTGGGCGTTCTCGGCCGGGCCTGCGGCCCCTCGGGCCTGCCACAGGCACCGGGCAAGTCCCTGCCTCTCGGCCCGCTGCTTGCCCACCTGTGTGAAGGAAGGATGGATGACATCTGTGGATTTCAAAGTAGCTTCAAAGCAGGAAACCCTTTCTTTGAATCACTTCCTCCCCTCACCCCCCCCTTTTTTTTTCAATAAAATCAACACATGAAAATGGAACTGCTGGAATGATCTGGTCCACACAGCCTTCCCTAGCAGAGGTGTGAGAGCCCCTGCTCGGTAGGAAATTCCTGGGCTGTCAGTCCCTAAAAGGCCTTCTGCTCTGCTGTCCTCTGGTGCTGGGACATGTGGGTAGTGGGACACTAAGATTCTTAGAGGTAACCACAGGCTGTGTAAAGGTCCCTATGGGGCTGGAATCCAGGGTGAGAAGCAGGTGGGGAGCAGGCGGCAAGTGGTCCATGTGGCAGAGGGAAAAGCAAGCGGCTGGGAAGGCAGAAACCCGGGTTCAAATCCCGATTTGTCCACTTACTGGTCAACGTGTGAACGTGGGCAAGGTAGTCAACCTCTATAAACCTACAAAATTGATAATACCTGCCCTGTAGTGTTGTTAACAAATGTTGGTAACATGTATAAAATACCTAGCTCCAAGTCTGGCATGCACTAGGAGCTTAATAATTGGTAATCACTATTATTAGGGACCAGAGGCTTCTACAGAGCCTGAGGCCAGTGCTTTTCTTCTCTGCCCTCATCACACCTACTGCAGAATGAAGCCCAGCAGGGAGACCGGGGCTAGGAGCAGGTCCTGGGAACCTTGAAGCACTGGGCCAGGTGTCTTCTGGAATTTAAGCTGTGTCAGTTGTGTGATACATCTTCAGCAATGCCTACAACCCCAGGAAGCTCTGACGTATATCTGAGGTTAAAAAAAAATTTTTTTTAAAGATTTTACTTATTTATTTGACAGAGAGAGGGAACACAAGCCGGGGCAGTGGGAGAGGGAGAAGCAGGCTTCCCGCGGAGCAGGGAGCCCGATGCGGGGCTCGATCCCAGGACCCCGGGATCATGACCTGAGCCGAAGGCAGACACTTAACGACTGAGCCACCCAGGCGCCCCTATCTGAGGTTAAAAATTAAAAAGAGATTGGCCTCTATGCAGTGATGAGAAAACTGAGGCCCGGAAGAGGCAGGGGCTGACTCCTTACCCTGGTCTTTCTGGAACCACATAAAGCCCCTGCGTGGATAAGTATCTGTGAGTGCTATGGCCACCGCAGGCACAGATAACCTCTGGCTGGTGGCCTGGAACCTCAAGGTTGGGCCTGTGTTGAAGGCCCATGTGGCCTGGGTCACCTAGAAAAGTCACTTTCTCTTGGGTACCTTTAGGGGAGCCAGACACTGTCCTGGGGGCTGTTTTTGGGAGAGCCAAGTGAAATGCGTGTGCCTGTGAGGGAGATAGGCCTGGACCAGCATTCTGGAAGGTCCCCGGGTATGTGTGGTGGGGTGGGAAAGCAGGGGAGGGGGGCGGGGATGCCTGCCTGAACCAGCTCTTCCTGTCCTCTACCACTGCCCTCCACCTCTGAGAGCAGCCTGACTGTGCATCTCTGGTCCTCTGAGTGTCACCACCAGCCTGCACCCAGACTCACCCTGCTGGCCCTTCCCTCATGTTCACAGTAAGCCGGTCACCAAGGCTGCTTCTGGCTACCATCTCAAATATCCATCTCCTCGTCCTCTGCAGTCCTTAGATGCCTCTGTCATCTCTCTCCTGGGTAAAGGCAAGAGTCTCCCCTGACCCTCACCTCCACTCTCCCCGTCTTAGCCACCCTCCACCCTGGCACAACTCGGGCTTTCAGATCAATGTCTTTCAGCGGCACCCAAGGTCCCATGGGTAAAGATCCTCCGCGAGGTTCGATGATCCCCTCTGCAGAGGAGATTTCTCCCTCCCCTGATCTGCCACTCTCCACCTGTACCCGCCTTGTGGCTTGAATCATTTCCCACTTCTTACTGGAGCCTATCCACCCCCACCTCAATCAGCTTTAGGATTCGTTTCCCGATCCAAATGAACAGTGCTGAGGACAGAGGCCGTGCCCGCCACAGCAGGGGGTCTGCAGCTTGGCACACAGCTAAGAAATAGATGGGGGGAAGAGAGGGAAAGAGGAAAGGAACCAAGAGGGGAGGGAGGGAGGATGGATGAACAGATAGAAGAATGGGCATACGGCTGAATATTAGAAGTTCTGGAAAACTGTTTCTTAGGGAAGAAGCCAGAAACAACTGACACAAATGTAGCTTTAGAGAATTTGTGGATTTTCTCTTACGGTACCGAGAAAGGAGTTGATTTCTCAAAATGCTTTTTCACATCTGCCATGCTCTTGCCTCATTACCGCCTATCACCCTGTTCTTGAACTACATGACAACTCCTTATGTCACCTCTCCATACTGGAGAGCATATGGGCCACCCTCACTGTACAGATGGGGAAAATGAGGCACAGAGAAGGGAAGAGCCTTGTTCAAGATCACACAGCAAGTGATTAGCAGAGCCAGGGCTGAAAGCCAGACCTGTCACAGCAGGTCAGGATGAAGGCCAGGGAAAGCCACTTACTCTCGACACCAGTACCTCATGAGTCTGGATCTTGAGAAGAGATTCAAGGAGGGACCCAGCCTCACCCAGCCAAGGATGAAATCCCCAAATTCCCATGGAGCAGGACTTCTGAAGTCTGTTGGACAGCTGTTCATTGAGAGCGCCCTGTGAGGCAGGAACTATGCTGGGATAGACTCAGCCCCTGGCCCCCAGCAGTGAGGAGTCTGTGGAAAACAGGTCCACGCCTGGGGTAGTGTCCCAAGCTGATTGCTGGGAGGGCTGCAACAAAGAAGACACAGAGGGGGCCGGCCCTGGGGGGTGGGGGGGGGGGGGGAAATCAGGGCAAGGAGCCCAGGCCAAGTTGAGCCTAGAAGGATGGAGAGGATTTGCAACCTCAGCAAAGTGGGAGAGGCAGAGAGGTGGTGGTGAGCGCTGGGAGAGGGAACCCAGGGGAAGGGACAAGCGTGCCAGCCTCCTAATAGCTGCGTGCAGGGGGAGGAAAGAGGTGACGATCAACTCCCAGCGGGCCCCACGCCCCACGGAAGAGTACCTAGTCTTTCACCTGCCGACAATGGGATGAAAGGTGTTAGAAAGTGACGGGACAAATCTGCATTTTATTTATTTTTTTTTATTTTTTAAAGATTTTATTTATTTATTTGAGAGAGAGAGAATGAGAGATAGAGAGCATGAGAGGGAAGAGGGTCAGAGGGAGAAGCAGATTCCCTGCTGAGCAGGGAGCCCGATGCGGGACTCGATCCCAGGTCTCCAGGATCATGACCTGAGCCGAAGGCAGTCGCCTAACCGACTGAGCCACCCAGGCGCCCACAAATCTGCATTTTAGAAAGTTCACCCGGACAGCCACAGTGGTGAGGATAGGCAGCGACAGGTCAGAGATAAAGGGGAAGCGCGACTTTGTACCCGGGTGGAGCCAGACTGAGCCTGGCACAAAGGGGGCACTCAGGGGAGGAGGGACAACGACAGAAGAAAAGGATGCTCAGAGCCGTCCTTAGGAAGGTTGGTTGGGGAGAGCTGTTTTGTAGCAAGAGATGCTGTCATAGTTTGGAGGCTTTTTCCAATTGTAACTCTGCTCTAGAAACAAAGCAAAAGCCACGCCTTGGCCGGACGCTGAGCGCTAATCCCATCAGCGCCTGGACACCCTCCCTGACGCAATCTCTGGCTCGCAGACAGGGGGACCCTCCCTCGGTCTCGCCTTCTCTCCTTCTCTCCCGGTGGCCCGACGGCCACCCCGGCTTCCTGGCTGCCCGGGAAACTGCCGGCGCGGAGCCTCCGGGCGCTTCGCCTCGTACGCCTCTCCAGTCCGCAGCCGGGGTCCCGCAGCTCAGCCCGCGCCCTGACCCCGCGTAGCGGCGGCCGCCCCGCTCCCCCGGCCACCAGCCCGCCGCGGGGGAGGGTGAAGGCTGGGGTCTCGGAGCCGAGGCTCGCGAGCCTTCCCCGCACCCGCCCGGCCGGCCCGCGGGCTCACCTGACTTGCCCATGGCCCGCTCGGCGCGCTCCCCGGCTCCCGCCGCCGCTGCGCTGCGCTCTCTTACCGGCCCCGCGCAGCTGGACCCCGGAGAAGGAGGCCGGGCGGCCGCAGCCCCTCCCCCGGCGCGGCCCGGCCCCCGCCTTATAAGGCAGCGGCAGCTGCCGGCGGAGGCGCCGGGGGCCACCCCGCCGGCTGCCGGGAGGAAGTGCAGCGCGCTCCGCTCTCCGCGCGCCTCCCACTCGGGAGAACTCGCCTAGCGAAGGGACCCCCACGACTGTCCAGGGCTCTCCCGGTGTGGACTGGGAGTCCGGGACCTCCCGAATCTCAGCCCCGAACTGCCCCTCTCGGGACGGAATGGGGGTGCATAGGGAAGCCGCTAAGGCGCTGCGAGGACCGTAGTGCTTACTGTCGCGGCACGAGAGAGGCAGTTCCAGCCCGCATCACCAGGGGTCGGGGCTCTCCCCACTTCGGCCTGACCCCCACAAACACCTCAGGCTCCGAGTGCACCGCCTTCTGCTCCCCAGTGACACTGGACTCCAGGGGCATCTCTTCTTCACAGGACATACCCTCCGGTGCGAATCAGGGTTGGAGTCCGGCTCACCCTCCTAACCTCGCCAACCCTGCGTGTCCCTCCCAGGGAGGCTGGGCAGCCTTGCTCTGACCTGTGGGCCTGTCCCTCATTGGCTATTAAACCAAGCCAAATCCCCCACCCCTGAAGTCTGGCTCCAGACCTGTCTCTTCAACTCCCTAACTTCATCCCATGCTCCAGTTAAACTAGACTTCTTGACATTCCCCAAACACGCTCAGAGACTTCTTCCCTCTTCGCCTTTGCTGGGTCTGTTTCCTCAGCCTGGGTGCTGGCTCATCTCTGCCCATTCTAGTCCCACCTACCCCTCACGGCCTTTGGGTCCCTTTAACTTCCAGAGGCTCTGACCTTTCTTGACGTTGGGGGCTGTGGTCAGTACACACCTGGCAATGGGGAGACTTGGTCTCAGTCATGGCCCCACACCTGTGTGACAACAGAGCACTTGCAGGAAGACACACCCTGGGTCACCTGCGTCACTCCCCTGAGTAACTCCTAAGTAAAGGAAGCTAAATTTAGGTAGGCCCTTTCAATAAATGGGCACTGAAGTGAACTGACTTGATCGGAAGGGGAGAATTTGCAATGTCATGGGCTTCAAATGTCCAGTAGGGCAATGGTACTTTCTACTTCCTCCCCCTATGTCAGACTTTCAAACTGTGGTAGAGTGTTAGAAAGAGTGGCCCACCCTGAATCAAAGGGAATTTTGGTGCTAGATGAAGATCCAACCCATTGTGTTCAACGCCCTCTCCCATTTTGCCAACAAATCCCCATTGAAATGACCAAATACACCCTGTTCCATATCACCTCTAGGATCTCTAGAAGGCTGTCTCCATTGTAAGGAAAACTTCAAGGCCCTGAGTGGAGACAGCTGAGCACAATGGAGCCACTCTACCTGCTGAGAAGGATCACTGAGTTTCACTCCCATTTCACCCCCATACAGAGATGAGGGTGGGCTTGGAGGGGGTGGGGAGGACAAAATCCAAAGTTTAATGGCATCTTTGGAGTCTGTGCGGGGTGGGATGCTGTGGGCTCTAGAGGTGGCCTTAGCTTGTGGAAGGGACAGTGTGCTGAGTGGGGTTAGGGCAGTGCCAAAGTTGCCCCTTCCAAGGGCTGAGGGCTGGTTGGAGGGAGCCACTGCCCAGCTGGTCCCAACCGGTGCCCAGGCAGCAGAGATGAGAGAAATGGCAACAAAGGTCAGACACAGGGAGGGTTTGACCCAAGCTACCACTTCTTTTTCATTTTATGTCCTATTTAAGAACTCCTTACTTCAAGATCATGAAATATTTCTGTTTTCTTCTAGAAGTCTTGTTTTTTTAAAGAATTTATTTATTTATAGCAAACTGGGAGGGGGACAGAGGGAAAGAGAGACAGAGAGAGAATCTCAAGCAGACTCCACCCTGAGCCGGAACCAGAAGTGGGGTTCGGTCTCACCACCCCAAGATCATGACCTGGGCCAGAACCAAGAGTCGGATGTTGGACTGACTGCGGCACCCAGGTGCCCCTCTTCTAGAAGTTTTAACGTTTTAGCACTTAGATTCATTCTGATTATGGTGTGTAGTATAAAGTCAGGATTATAACTCTCTCTTTCCTTATCTGGCATATGAATGCCCAATTGCTCCAGTATCATTTCTTGAGTTAACTGTATGTGGGCTCCCTATTCTGTTCCATTGATCTATATGCATATTTATACACATATTTTTACACTAATACCACCCTGTCTCAATTGCTGTAGCTTTATAATAAATCTTTTTTTTTTTTTTTAAGTAGGCTCCATGCCCAGTGTGGAGCCCAATGTGGGGTTTGAACTCACAACTGTGAGATTGAGACCTGAGCCAACATCAAGAATTGGATGCTTAAATGACTGAGCCCCTATAGTAAATCTTGATATCAAGTAATGTAAATCCTCTTATTCTCTTTTCAAAGTTGTTCTGTTCATTTTACTTTATTTTATTTTTTGGTTTTGTTCATTTTAAGTCCTCTGCATTTCCATATAAATTTTAGAATCGGCTCATCAATTACTGTAAAACAAACAACCTGCTGGGGTTTTGATTGGAATTGTCATGAATACATAGATAATCTTGGGGGGAACTGACCTCTTAATGAAATCGAGTTGCTGGCCCATCACCATGGTGTATCTTTATTTATATCTTCTTTAATCTCTCTGTGTTTTGTGGGGTGTTTGCTCTGTATTTAGTCTTTTCTTCTTATAATATCTTTCAGATTTGGGGATCAACACTGGCCTTATAAAAGAAGTTGGAAAGGGTTCTCTATACTATTTTCTGGAAGAGTTTGTATAGAATTAGTATTATTTCTTTCTTAAATATTGGCTACAAATAATCGGTGAAGCCGTCTAGTCAAGGAGGTGTTTTTATTCTTTTTTGGGCGAGGGAAGGTTTTCAATTACAAATTCCGCTTTATTGATAGATATGGAATTCTTCAGATTGTCCTTTTCTTCTTGAATGAGCTTTGGTAACTTGAATCTTTTAAGAAATTTGTGTATTTCATTCACCTAAATGGTGGAATTTATATGCATGAGGTTGCTAATATTGTTATCCTTTAAAAGAATGATGTCTAATGGTGACCCTTTATCATTTCTGATACTGTGCCTTCTAAAGGTTTATCAACATAGTTGATCCGTATTATTTGTGGATTCTGTGTTTATGAATTCACCTACTTGCTAAGATTTATTTGTAACCCTCAAATCAATACTTGCAATGCTTTCAGTCATTGGAAAACATGTGCAGACATTGAAAAATTTGAATTGCCCAACACACAAGTTCCCAGCTGAGGTTGAACAAGGAGACGCCATGAGATAGCTCTTACTCGTAAACAAATGTCCTTCCCAGAGTCTATGTAGTCCCAGGTTTGGGGCATTTTTGTGTTTTCTGTTGGTGATTCTGCTGTTTAAAATGGTCCCCAAGTGAAGTGCTGAAGTGTTGTTTAGTGCCCCTAAATGCAAGAGGGCTGTGTTGTGCCTTATGGAGAAAATTTATGTGTTAGATAAACTTTGTTCAGGCATGACTTCAAATGCTGTTGGCCATGAGTTCCATGTTCATGAATCAACAGCATGAATTAAATAAGGTATCTTTAAACAAAGACACACATGAAGTAAAGCTATTACTGATCCACCGACAAAAATGTTGTGGCCAGAGGCTCACAGGAACCTAACCCAGTATTTTCCCTAGCAGCAATGGGTCAGTATTCTCCAATGCCGTGTCCCCTGCAATTTTATAGAACATAACTGCTGCAAATCATGAGAATCAATTGTACTATTGATCTCAAAAAAAACCCAGCTTTTTGTTTCATTGATTTTCTCTATTATTTTCCCATTTACTATTTCATTGATTTTTATATTACTTTTTTTTCTGTTTACATGGGGTTTAACTTACTCTTATTTTTCCAGTTTCTTAAAGGGGAAATCAGGTCATTGATTGTAAGACATTCTTCCTTTCTAATATAAGCATTAAGTGCTATAAATTTCCCTCTAAGACTGTTTTTAGCTGCATGTCACTAAATTTGATATGTTGTGCTTTTGTTTTTATTTAGTTCAAAATCATTTCTAATATCCCTTGTGATTTATTCTCTCATGACTTATAGGTTATTTTAAAATGTTATTTACTTTCCAAATATTTGGGAAATTCCAGATTATTTTTCTGTTATTGATTCCCACTTTAATTCTGTGTGGACCGAGAATATACTTTGTATTACTTCAATCTTTTCTTACATTTACTGAGAATTATTTTATGGCCCAGAATGTGGCTTTATCTTGGTAAACATTCTGTGTACACTTGAAAAGACTGTGTTCTGTTGTTACTGGGTAGAATGTTCCATAAATTTCAATTAGATGAAGTGGACTGATAATGTTGTTCAAGTCTTTTATATCCTTATTGACTTTCTGTCTACTTATTCTATCAAATATTGAGAGAGGGATGCTGAAATCTTCAGATATAATTGTGGATTTGTCTATTTCTCCTGATATTTGAATAAGTTCTGCTTCATGTACTTTGTGTTTTTTTGTAATTTTTAAATTTAAATTCAATTTAGTTAACATATACTGTATTATTAATTTCAGGGGTAGAATTTAGTGATTTATCAGTTGCATGTAACACCTAGTGCTCATTACATCAAGTGCCCTCCTTAATGCTCATCACCTAATTACCCCATTCCCCCTACCCGTCTCCCCTCCAGCAACCCTCAGTTTGTTTCCTAGAGTTAAGAGTCTCTTATGGTTTTCCTCTCTCTCTCTGTTTTCATCTTATTTTCTTTTTCCTTCCCTTCCCCTATGTTCAGCTGTTTTGTTTCTTAAATTCCACATATGAGTGAAATCATATGGTGTTTGTCTTTCTCTGACTGACTTATTTCACTTAGCATAATACTCTCTAGTTCCATCCACGTCATTGCAAATGCCAAGATTTCATTCTTTTTGATGGCTGAGTAATATTCCATTGTATATATACTATATCTTTATCCATTTATCTGTCAGTGGACATCTGGGCTCTTTCCATATTTGGGCAATTGTGGGCATTGCTGCTAGAAACATTGGGGTGTATGTGCCCCTTCGAATCACTATGTTTATATCCTCTGGATAAATACCTAATAGTGCAATTGCTGGGCTGTAGGGTAGTTCTATTTTTAACTTTTTGAGGAACCTCCAG